GTATTGATGAGATTAACATAATATAAGACTTTCAAAGGTTTTAAAAATCATACTATAAGGATTGATTTCATTAGTCACCAGAATAACTTTTTCAGATGGCGCTCTGATTTTCCACGAACACGTTTTTCTGCATCAGTTGGTTACACATGAGTGAGATAATCTTGGTTCTTTATCCTTTGTTATTTATACTTCATTGGGAATCCTTTTGAGTTACTACTGTATTTGCGTCATTATTATTATTGCTGTAGAATTCAGGAACTTTTAGTAGATCTGGCAGTTAGCATGAAATTTGCTTTTAAATCATTGCTTGTGTTTTGTAAGCTATGGAAATGTGTTCAGAATGTTTTTTAAAAGGCCAGATGAAGTGTGAAGATAGAAAAACTTCCTCCTTCACTGTGGATGTTTAACAAACATTTGCTTCTACTTTATTTTTGTTTGCTTCCTTTAGTTGTGCAAAGTGTCCAGTTCTAGAATGCATGAGATACATGACAAAGCCAAAAAATTTTTTACAGTTGATAAATAATTGCGGCAAAAACAGCTCTATAATAACTTTGCAATCATCATTTGATTAAATGCTTAAAAAGTCTTGACTCAGTTTTAACTATTTCCTGCAAATAATAAATCAATATTTTTAATTAAATGCTACTTCAAATTAGTGACACTTTTACATGTCTTTCTTTCTCCCTCCCCTTCTCTCTTCCCCCCTTTCCCCCTTCCCCCTTTCCCCCTTCTCCCTTTCTCCCTTCCCTCTTCCCTCTTCCCTTCCCTTCCCCCCTTCCCTTGCCCCATCCCTTCCCTTCCCCCATCCCTTTCCTTTCCCCTTCCCTTCCCTCCTCTTGCCCCTTCCCTTTCCCTTCCCCTTCCCCTTCACTTCCCCTTTCCTTCCCTCTTCCCTTCTCCCTCCCTTCCCCCCCCCCATCTCCTCTCCTCCCCTCCCTTCCCTTCCCATGAAATGAGAAAGCCTCAGAGATATTGGCTTGATTAATTTTTCTTTAGATATTTATCTAAGCCTTTAAGGTTTATCTGTTGAGCTTTTTCATCTCCTATTTTTATTTTTTCTACGTTTGTCAAGGATAAAATACAGCACTGTGTGCCAAGTCATAATCACTTTTCTTTTGAGACTTAATCAAAATTCCTTTAACTGTTACTCTGATACATTTGGCTAATGTATTTGAAGTAATCCAAAATTAAGTTTTCTAATGACAAGGTGAGAAGGATAAATTCCATTTACATAAATTGCTGTCTCTTCTCATGCTGTCTCCTCACGCTTCCCCAAATTTCTTATAGGTGTCTGTGATCAAAGTTTTGGGATTCATGTTGCAGAGCTTGCTAATTTCCCTAAGCATGTAATAGAGTGTGCTAAACAGAAAGCCCTGGAACTCGAAGAGTTTCAGTATATTGGAGAATCACAAGGATATGATATGGAACCAGCAGCAAAGAAGTCCTATCTGGAAAGAGAGGTTTGTCAGTTTGTTTTCATAGTTTAACTTAGTTTCTGTATTATTACATAAACAGGACACTAAGATGAAGGTTTTTTGGTGTTTTTTTTCCCCCCTCTGTGTTTCTAGTGCTTATTTTTTAATCAATTTGTTTGATGGCAAAGAATCCATTTCTGTGTCATTTTGATTTCTGCAGTATATACATCTGCACGATCAAGATTCGATTTCAAGTACCAAAGTAGGAATAAAGGAATATAGTAAAGGAATAGGTTTAAAATTAGTCATTTCACTAAAATTAGTTATTATAGACTATAGCTAGGTACATCTTTGTTCATAAACGAATATATCAAGTTCAGTTATTAAATTACATATTAGGTAAGAAAAGGACAAATAAGAAAGCATGATTCATAATTCCTGCCCTCTATTTGTTTAGAATTTAGTTGGGGAGATAAGAATAACGAATGTGACACAGAGAATAAAGTGGCACATGACAAATATTTATTCAAAGAAACCATTATGGATGGGATGTTTCAGTTCTCATGGGAGAAGTGGATTTTATGGTGGCTTTTCTTTGAGTATAGGTCATATTTGGGTGTTCACACAGAAAGACCCAAACATATGCCTAATTTTTAAATTAATTACTTTATTTTCTTTGTGATGGAGTCTCTCTCTGTTGCCCAGGCTGGAGTGCAGTGGCGTGATCTTGGCTCACTGCAAGCTCTGCCTCCCGGGTTCGCGCCATTCTCCTGCCTCAGCCTCCCGAGTAGCTGGGACTGCAGGAGCCCACCACCACGCCCGGCTAATATTTTGTGTTTTTTAGTAGAGACGAGGTTTCACTGTGTTAGCCAGGATGGTCTCAATCTCCTGACTTCGTGATCCGCCTGCCTCAGCTTCCCAAAGTGCTGGGATTACAGGTGTGAGCCACCACGCCCAGCCCTTTTTTTTTTTTTTTTTTTTAAATTAGAGGATTACTAGTTCTCTTCAATTATAAAAATAATAGAATCTTATTTCACTGCCTGGTCCTGGAAACATTTACTGCAGTATACATTGTGACAACTTTTTACTTGTTATGTTTTTAGCTTTTACCTGTGAATTTCTTATTGTTCTTATGTGAAGGATAGATAGTTGCTACAATAATAATAGATGATGTGTATGGTTTTTGAGCCTGAAAAGTATAGTTTTATCTGCTGTACCTATACAAGCAGGAGAAATATAATTCGTTAATAATTTTAGGTATGGCAGGCTGCCATCCCAAATATGAAGTGGTCTTTGTATTTGCACTTTAATGTGTTGAAATCATAGCTTTCAGTGATCCAGCATTAGGCAGACTCTTATGTAATCCCTTGTTTCCAATTAAAATAGACGTTGTATACTTTTGATAACATGAATTATAATGTATTTTGAGCCCTGTGAGGTTGGTAACATTATTCCCATTTTGTGAATGAGGAATGTGTGTTAAGGAATTTGCCCAAGAGTCACATAGCAAGTAATATTCATGCTCTCTGAAGCAGCAATAACTTGGTAATAAAATAAAAAAGAAACATCTTCTGTATGTGTTAACTTTTCAGTGACAGTTTTTGCCTTCCAGTATTCTTTGTAAACCTTGAATTCTTTTTTTCATAGAGGATTAAAGTTTATCAGTTATAAAGGTGGAGGAATTTGGGAACTAGACAGTGCACACATAAATAATAAATATGTTCTTCAAATATTGGGTGGGCTAATGTAGGGGGAGTTTGAGACCAGCCTAGGCAACATAGTGAGACCCTTGTCTCTAAAAATATGAAAAATAAAAAAAAATTTCTAAAAATGGGTGATGTGTTTAGATGGAAATGAAACAATTTGTCACGGTCTAACAAGACTTTTAGAAAAGATATTTTAATTACTAATGGGACATTCACATGTTTTTCAGCAAGGTGAAAAAATTATTCAGGAGTTCCTGTCCAAAGTGAAACAAATGCCCTTTACTGAAATGTCAGAAGAAAACATCACAATAAAGTTAAAACAGCTAAAAGCTGAAGTAATAGCAAAGAATAATAGCTTTGTAAATGAAATCATTTCACGAATAAAAGTTACTACGTGAAAAATCCCAGTAATGGAATGAAGGTAATATTGATAAGCTAATTGTCTGTGATACTTTTATATTGTTTTGTATTAATTCTTTTTCCATAGTGTTAACTGTCAGTGCCCATGGGCTATCAACTTAATAAGATATTTAGTAATATTTGTCTCTGAGGACATTTTCAAAGATCTTTATTTTGAAAAATGAGAGCTGTAACTGAGGACTGTTTGCAATTGACATAGGCAATAATAAGTGATGTGCTGAATTTTATAAATAAAATCATGTAGTTTGTGGAATTTGAGATGCATTGTAGTTCTTTGCAGTGTGACTTCTATACACATTTGTTCCCAAATATGTTGGAAGAAACAAATAGTCCAGAGACCTTGTAAAAGATCTTAAACTGGAGGGCTCCATGGAGATCTTTGCCAGTGACTCCCCCAGAGTGTCCATCTGTTGGCAGGAGCCAGGTTGGCTGCATACGCATTAGCTAAGGAGCTTATTATACATCCAGAGTCCTACAGTGAGCCTCCATCCTGTCTGCCATTCTCCCATCCCTGGTCTATGATAAGACTTAGAAATCTGCATTTTAACAAAACCTTTCAGGTTGAGAACCCTGATTTAGTCTACTTCT